TCCCAAAACTTTGAGTCGGCGATATCGATAATTATCGACAAACCAAAAGTTTTGGATATTATTCACCTCTCCCCGCTTCACCATCTCCTCCATGACACGCGCTCGCTTATATTTATTGTACGGCGTCGGGTTATAATATGCGTCTCAGCGCATTTATTTATGGTCTGGTTTATTTTTCTGCAACAAAAACCCAAAAGGCGATTCCTCACGCGACTACGGCTTTTTTTTTTGATAATTTTTTTTGTCTAAAAAAGTGGGTTGGAAAAAAGTAAAATATTATTTTCCTCCTCCCATTGTTTGAGCTTTCAGAGCTTAATAGAATTCCGTTTCAGGTTTTTTGTTTTTGTTTGTTTGTTTGGTTTTTTTTTAGCGTGGGAGCCACGCTACAGTTCCGTGTGGCTCCGCTTTTGTCAAATAAACAATAAAAAAATGTATACACATAAAAAACAGAAATAAAAGGTTCAATAAGCCTTGCATGTTTTTAATCGCATTTCTCCGGCATTTTGCCGAGACAACGGTAAACGCATAAATGTATAAAAAAAAAAAACCCTGTGATGGAATTCTCTAGTGAATTATTGAAAAATATAATAAATAATAATTCCGTAAACTCGACTTTGCGTGGCCTCTCGGATAGGCAATTCATGTGCACTAGTATTACAACACGACATTGCACCGCCTCTTATATCCCTTCGCTCCTTGTAATACGTTCCGTGATATATGATTTCGCCGTCCAATGGATTCAGATTTATCRCGACCGCATCGATTTTGTATGCGCCTCATTGGCATTCAAAGTTCTCAAGAACTTTTCGCATAATAAATTTTCCGCAACAAATTACATAACGTTTTTTTTACGTTTTTTGTTTTAAACAAATTTGACAGACCAAACTCCGAATAAATAATTCTTCAACTATATGGCGAACATCAGTTTTCGATAAATATTCTATTATCTGTATTTCATCCGAAACACACGTTGAGTTTTCCAAGTGCTGGTTTCAAGGAATTTGGTATATTGTCGAATATTCAGTCTAATAATATATTTGATATAGCTACCCATCATCTTCTAATTTCCTAATGGGAACATCGGTCGAGATGATCAAGAAAATAAATACCGACATCCTTGCCGTGCATTATACCTTAGTATACGTAGGTATACACTATATATACCACAGTTTGTTTAAGTATTAAATTCTGAGCGTAACGATGGATGTATTGATTTTACAATAGCTTGTTGTCTTTGTATGTATATACGAAAAGCATTGGAAATATGCTTCGAATTAACTTTTGGATGATTTTTGACAACGAAACTGTATGTATAGTTATTGTTACTTTTAATGGATTGAAGTAGAAAATTCCCAGTGTTTATAGCTATATAATCGGAAAAACTGAAATTTTTACTATAAACCAATTTTTGTGTAGCTCAAAAACGAATCGTAGATACTTGATCATATGTTCACCAAATGTTTCTAATAGTATGTTCTTTAAGTGTTTATTTTTAGGTCACTGCCATAAAAATATATTCGTATTAATATCTTCCATTTATGTATCTCTTTTGAAATTTAATAAGTTTAGTTATACAGTAGTGATGTTAATGAAAATTTATAACTCTGGATTTGTCTGAGTTTCTTGCAAACCGGAAGAAGAAAATGTTAGGTTATGAATCGCGTTTTACGTTAAAGTTACCGGGCGGTGGCAGTAGTATTGGCTTGGCTATTGTTTTGAGTTGTTGTTCTCAAGACACATAAATTACCCGCGGGGAAAACACTATTAGCCGTAGTAAGGGCAGCAAGTATTAGGAATAGTTCATAGTCATATGATTATATATACCTCTCTCTCTATATATATATACATATATATATACATACCTAATATGTATATAATATATTGTGAATGTAGGAGTATAACGACATACACCGAGTATATTTTACACTCGAAACAGATACTACACCACGCATTTCCCGTTGTTATCGCGTGATTTACGCGYGCTAGACGTATAACCGGACTCTAAAAAACCAAAGAATAATAATTCGGAATTATACCAGAAGGGGGGGATCACTGAGAAATTTATCGCTCTCCAATAAATTGAAACGTTCAACTATACTGTAATAGTGTATATAGGAACATACGCATCAGTCACATTTTGGCGGTGACGATCATGCGAGTGTGTGTGTTTGAGTGTTTAGAGTGTTAACTTACGGAAGTGCTAACTATAGTTTCGAGCTGACTCTACTTGAATTATTAAGCTGCGAATTTATGTCGCGCTATACGTCCAAATCCACAACTTGGCACGTCAATTATACCGTCGCTTAGACTGACATAAACTACAGTGGCGGTATTTTTTTTATATAATTTTTAATTCATATAAAGTCTTACATATTTTACCCAAGTTATCTCAAACAATTTCGAATTGTTGTCACTTTCTTATTACGGTGTCTCGTTACTATACTTTTCAGTCGCAGTTACGCCCCGTCGCTACATTTGAACGATAAAACCGTATACTCTTTTGTCAGTTGTCTAACCATCATGATGCGCACACGACAATATATAGTTTAAATATATATTTATACATTCGTAGGTACCCATAATACATAATATGTGTATACGAGTATTCATCAATAAACCTATTGACTAAGCAAATTACTCTCGGAAGTCGAACGGAAATTGTTTTCAATTTAGCCAGATGGAAAATTCAATTTTTTTTCGATTATTTGGTTTCTCTAAAAATTAATTTTTCGAAATCGTCAAACTCTCATTCGTTTTATTATTTGACGAATGACGTTACCATGACGCACACAACTAACACTGGATGTCCTCCCCATTTTTTCTGAAGGGTGTTGGAACAAAGACATAATATATTAGCAAACATAAATCGAAACTTTTTATTTCATCTTCAGTCACGCCTATTATATTAAATTATATTTATTTTAATTTTTTATACAGTCCTTGAATCTTTCAGGGTTTTACATTATTTTTGATCATCGCCATATTACATTCATTCAAATCGTACATTTGCAAAACGTATTTTATTAGTATGATTCCTTTTACACAATGCTATTGTGACAAAAATGAAATCCGTTCTGCAAAATAGTGCAATCGTCGTGTATCTCCAAATAATATGTTTGTGCATAATTTGTTTTCCTTCGCATCATGACGATGTATTCTGTCGGAACGATGATGCTAATCCTATAGAAATTATATTCTAAGAAAATTATATTTTCAACGCAATGACATAATTATTTCACCTATAAATTGGAAAGGCGATCGCGTTACCCACGCTGAGAAGTTGTTAAATACGAGCATTTTTCATCTTCCGCATCATCATGGTCGTCCATTAAATACAAACGTTCTCATTGATCGTGCCCTCTGTACCAGAACAATTTATTTAACGCTCGTATTTTGATCTACCCCTCGCAAATACTTATCATTTGTTCACATTCTGTGAATTCTGAAGCGCACTCCTTGTGGGGAAAAAAATGAATTGAGCACATCAAATGTGTACATGGTTTTTTTTTCTCGTTCCAAGTGGAATGTCATTAACGGTAATTGTTTGGAGCTACCTAACTAAAACCGTACTTAAAATTACAAATTGCTTGGGTATCCTTTAACGGCTGTTGTTTAAACGTGGCGATTGTGTTTCAAGTATTTTACATACATAAAAATCTAAAAAGTCGCCTCCTCCGGTATTTGTGCGGTAGTTTTTTGTTTGTTATAGGTACTCACACTTGAGTCATAATGTACATCGATGACATATGTTATTGTATGTAATCATAGTGTAAGTACTTAACGTAATAGCAACAGTTTTGGATAAAGATTCAAAAAGTTAATTTATTTTAAGTATGTGCTTTATCTCAGCGCGTGTAATGAGAGGAAAACGCGAGTGAAATGTTCGTTTATGGGAAACTCAAAAAGCCACTTTGGCTCTTTTCCAAATTATCTTTCATTTATTAATTTTCATGTTTTCCCCTCCTCTAATGCAACACAATACACTTGAAAGCAAACTGTTTTGCCTTAAATTGCCAACGATTTGCGTAAAAACGATATGTATTTTTAAATATTTCACAAGTAGGTATCATAATATTTACATTTTCATTATTACGTAACAACCCTTAAATTCAAATATTTCAATTGTATCTTCGATCAAATATTAAAATATTAAATGTATTTACATCTACACGTCTATTCCATATGCATAATGATAAATGCAAATTCAGTTTAACAAATAAAAGGTTTTCGACGTTTTCTATACCATTCAGTAAATTTTGTTTAAAACCCAAAAGTATAGAATAAAATAATARTAATAAAAGTGACACGTTTAATTATTTTAAACGTTGTGCCACGCTATTAAAGCAATTATTACTTATACAGGTAATGTATTCAATCCGTACCAATGTTATGTATATAAATGAATTCAGCCATGATTGACAAATCAGAATTCACCATAAATTAGTATCGGGACGATTTATTTATTTCTATAATTTATCATCGGTACTTAATAGTCGGTTATATTTTGTTCAAACTCACTGTATATTTATATTTTTGTATGTACACATCACTTCATCGTCGTTCCAATGTCATATTGCAATCGTACCTCTTCTGCAGCCTTTTGATCACCATTCAATGTTACCATATCGTCATTATATAATGTAAAATAATGCGGATATTAAAAATTAAATAATCATCATGTATTTGAACACGTATACATACATCTGTATATATTATACATTTTTTCATCTTGACGTGTAATTAATTTATTATTATTATCATTTTTATAATGTTATAGTCGAGGAACTGTTGTGTTTGGCCACATGGAAAGACGGCTCGACGAAGTACATGATCGGTAAGCTGGAACACACACCTACGTCGTCGGACGAAGAAAAGTACCGGTGCTTCGTAGTGGGCAAATCGATAGGTGGTATGTTCGATATGGCCCAGTCAGGTGACGCAACGTGTAATGGTATGTCGTCACCCACTGACGGATCAAGAACGATGAAATTCGTCAGAGGTAAGTCGAGAGCAATCACATACATAATATAACGAAATCGCATGAGGAACGAAAAMAAAACAAATGTTATATAGRGAAATTCCTCAAATAGAATTCCCGCATGATTTAAAATAAAAGTTATGGTTTTCAAAAATTATGCGTTAAATGGAATTCCTTTACATAAGAAGTTTTACTCTTCTAATATGCTTACGAACGCAGTATGCACTCTACATCGTCATCAAATCCAGACCATTTCATAATCTGCATTGTTTTGTAATCAATGAAATTTTCCTCAGTTAAAGTACTCTTATATTCAATATATTATGTTAGGTCTAGTTTTATACTTAKATTTTATTTAATATTATGCATTTTATTTGTTCAAACTACCGTATAGGTATAACCACAATTGTAGTTATTTTCAAATCGGCATYACWGTCCATTTGTCTCATTATTCGATAAAAAATACAACACAATCACGTGGCATTTAAATACCTTAAAATTATATTATTTCTCCTAATTCTGAGTATAACATAAAACTATTTATATTTACCATTCTAAATGGAGTAAGGACCCCCCGTTTGAACGAAATAAAAATGTTCAAAAATATATTGTCTCAGAAAATAGAAACAACATTTACTTCAAATGACAATTATTTTTTAAATGTTCATTAATTCCAGTCATAAACATTTTTTTTTTAAACAGTGAGATTATTGATAAATAAATTTATTACAAATTTAAATTTGAAACACTGCGGTACAAAGATTGTTCTTGTATATTTGTGTATAGGACCGGAATTATTCATCACTTRTAGAATTCAATGTTTGTTATAAAACCTTTAAAGTTTTAATTAAGTTACAATAAATGTTTMAAATTTGAATATAATAAAATGTATTCGTTTTTTTTTTTTTATTTATTAAATTTGAGATTTATTTTATAAGATTGCTTATTTTTWAATTAAGACTTTAAATTTGAATGTAAAGTTATTCATTCCATATATATCATTCTATTTAATTTATTTAAAACTTTTACTCATGATTATAATAAAATAACTTAAAATTTGAATAACGTCAAAAACACTTAAGCGAATCGAGTTCCACTTCGATGAGTTTTTCTCATTCGATGAATTATCCAGGTCAAATATATAATTAAAAATAAAAATTTATCATACACCGAGAGAGGACAATAATCGGGGTCCAGTGTCTTTACTAGCTATCAACAGCAAAATATCCAGCTCATGCAAGTGGTATTTAATAAACTATAATCTCCAAAAATAATTCAATAATCAATACGTTCATAATTAAACAAACTTTGTTTATTTTGCTTAAATATTTAAATTGTTCCTAGACAATTCAATTTAATTACCCTCCATGTTGAACAAAAATTAATTTCATCAAARCTACATTATTTTCTATATAAAATGTAAAATCGTTTCTCTTTATTAAAGAGTATACGATAAGTGACCACTAAATGTATAAATGTATCATGTACTTTATCATCAAATAAATTAAATGATTTAAAGCAGATAGATAGTAGTAATAAAATATATTTTCCTATTTTTTTTATTTATTTATTCGACTCGTGTACATACAATATTTCACCAGTCTTACGATTTGATGTATACGTCATAGCGCGTGTAATCGTGACACGAAAGTCTCATCGAATGGTAGTTTATAATAGTCTTAAAACTCCACCTGACCCAAGTGTAATGTCATTTTAAGGTGTATACCTTAAGGGTGCGTCATACTTACTAATGTCTTGAAAAAAAACTTTGTGATTTATGACGCCCTCAAAACCGAGTGTCGCACGACTGTTAAAAAGTTTTCACAGAAGTAACTTTTAAACCATAACTAATGTCTGGCAAATTAATTCTTTCAAAGAACAATAATATTAAACTTCCAAATAGGGGTTATATTGTGGAAAAAAATATGATACTTAAAATAATGTATTTTATAACCCTTTTGTCTCATGGTAAGCATATTTTAAAAGTGAAAAAGTTTTTGTTTTAATTGATTTCGAAGCAATTAAAAGTCATTGAAAAGAATTAACTTCAAACCACCACCACCACTTGTTGCCCAGTCGCAAACCAATTTCCATTCGAATCGAATTTCTTCAAACTCTAATTGCATAGTCATGTTTAATTTACATTGATTTTTTTTCCAATTGTGTATACAAAAGTTTTTTTTTTTTATATTCTATTGAACTCGTTTATTGATATAACGAAATATTCATAATGATACGGTTGATCGAATTTGTTTTCCTGTATACGAGTAACCCGCGATTTAGACGATACGTTTCTTTTTACTATCGTAGACAATCGTACTCGTGAAACAAGTCCCATATCCAATCGTAATAAAACAAAAGTGCTTAAAATGGAAAAATCAGTATCGTAAATAAATATATATATATATACAATCTGTAACGACGTGTCCCGATAAGCATTCTTATAGATATGTCGTAAAGCTTGCAATGTAACGGTTGCGGTGGTGGTCGTCTATTTTCAATGTATTTTCATGTTTCTCGATAATAACTTTTATTTAATTTTCGAACGCCATGGAAGTTTAATATCTAGTATTGTTATTGAAAAAATTTAATTTCTCGATGATGAGTCCGATGACCGTACGCGATAATGCATATACATATATATTATATATCATAACGTAATGTTTGCTATATTTGTATATATATATACATTTAGACATTTGTCAAAACTGAAATTCTATTATATATATACGAAGACGAGTGTACTGTGGCTGTATATATTCACTGGTTATCGCATTTTTCACGCACAAACTTTTATGTTGCGGAAGTGAATACGAATCGCCCGGAGATTTTCGATTTTTATTTCAGACACGTTTCGTTCACGAAAATCTGTCCGCCGCCGCGTAGATTTYGGGTTAGAAACTCAGTCGGTCGGTTACTATTCTCTGCAACCGGCGGCGCTTTTGTACTATTTTTGTACGGCGCGCCCGTGTACCGCCGATTGCTACTCAGAAATATGGCGTATCGACCTTCTCCTGCTTTCCTTTATTCGTATCCGACCGTATAAGTCAGTGTGTGTGTTTCTAAACTTGTAGTTGCACTTTTCGTTGGGAAAACACATAACATAATATATCCACTTATTATCGCAGAGTGTCGCAAAAGTGATTTTTCAGACGGCCGCTTAGTCTATACGTAAATATATACGTGCAAAGTATAAAGGCATTTAATGATGTAGGTATGTAATAACATGCTTAATTAGGGCTCGGGTATTACTGTGATTAATGGTTTTTCTAATGATTTTAATTGATTCGTTTMTATCGCGTGAGGATTATCACACATATTATTATTATATAACGTAAACCTATACCTAACGAGCTGAATTCAACWTGGCTAAGATGAGTACGAAGTAAAGTTTATTTATTTCATAGAATGATACTATTAAATTCTACGTCAGCTGACTTTATTTAGTGCGTATACTCGGTGCACATTTTCATCGCGGCTTTTCCGGATGATGKTTTTTTATGCGCGTTTGAATAATAAAATGATAACACGGCGCAAACGATAGGCAATTTAGCTACACCACATTCGCGGTTGTAGCTAAATGTGTGCTATTTTTTCTGGTATCTCATAACTCATATTCATAACAATGACGTTTTTAATACTGCATCGTGGTATCATATAGTCATAATAACAATAATATAATGACAATAAAAAGTGACGGGTGTGTGTGCGATTTGATACTATTTTCTGTTTCTCATTTCTATTTTTCTTATAATTGTATTATATTGAACTTTAAGTGAACTGTGCGTGAGCTTGAATGAATCTTATACTAATTTACTTTCAGTCCATCTATGTATTCCTGGTTTTAAAATAAAACGTACGATGCAAAAAAAAAAGGTTCAACTTTTAACTGATAACTTAATTTGTTAGTTTTGTTTTTTGTGCGTGAGAGGTCAAAAACTTTCAACCAAACAACATTACTTTTTCATCAATATTGAGAAGTAATTTTCAACTGAACTGAGTTAATTTTGTTTTTATGAAGTTAGGTATTTTCATTCCTAATTCCTAGTTTTTTTRAGCACTATAGGTACTCAGTTTTAAAAGAAAAACCTATTTTACCCGACTGTTATATAAATAATTACCAAAAGCCAAGCCACCATCGTCGAAACGTATTTCAATTTGAATTTTATAGTATAATGTAAATTATAATTTATATATTATATCGTGATATTAATAAGTAATAGTAAAATAAATGACACGTGCCGTGGATTCGATATGGTTTATCATATAAATATGACCGCCGCCGGGGAATGTCAATACACGGCCTGAGTTATGAAAATCGCTGCCGCCGATATACAGACAAACACACGTACACGCGCACGCACACTCACTCGCACACGCATCCATAGCGTTCAAAGCTCGCAATTCGTCGGATCCGGTGTATTTACACACCACCCTTTCAGCGCCTCTGTGCCGTATTGTAGGTATATAGGTATACGTCACTGGACTCCGGTATACAATATATTTTACGAGTATTATAATAATATAACCATTAACCGTGTATCGCGGGTAACAAAGTGGCCGAGAATAGTTATCGTTCTTTCTACCGACGCCGCCTTTTGTAATATAAATATTATATTATTATGACGTACGTATAAAGATACGCCCAAATAGCGGATACTACGATATATTCATCTACGGTATAATACACTCCGGAATCATTCAGGCCGCACACACGTGTCGTCTGTGCTTCGCTTAAACCCTTTCTTCGTAATCGATACATCTGTTCAATCGACCTCTAAACGAATTAAGCATTGTTTCTAAAGATAAACACTTCTCTTGATCAACAGCGAAACCACAACCGACATTTTAGTAAAACGGATATAGCTCGGTGAGCATCAATCGTATTTATTATAACCAAGTATTGTTGCGAAACAGTACAAGTCCCGCGTGACCGATACCCCGCCCGTCAAATATCTCATTAACCAAATAACGCATCGATACACTGTATGATAATCGTCTAATTGAATACTAATTGTTGT